GGGGGGCTTGTGCATGGGGGTGGGTGGGCTCCAAAGCATGAGGTGGGAGGCAAAACATCAATGAGATACTGTACGTGGTCATGACTCAGGACGACCAAAAAAGCACCTATAAGCTGCGCTGTTTGCAATGTCACAAAGGAAGCAGCACTTCGGCCGCTTGCAGCACAGCGGCAACGTAGCCAGTAGCAGGCGGCGCAGCAGTACCAGCAACTGATTGGTCACCCCAGTACACCTACCATGCGGGGCCCCTGGCGTGTGGAACAGCCGGGCCGGCAGCAGCTCCCCGGCGCCCTGCTGCGGCGGCTGGCCACCTGCAAGTGCGTCTGGCGTAATAGCAGGCGCGCCGCCGCGCCCCTCCCCGTGCGGCGTGGACGCGGCTGTGCATCCTGCCCGCGGCCCCGCCGCTGCCCTGACCGAACTCGGCTGGTGCGGCTGGGGAGCCTTGAAAACAGGCTCATCAGCCGGCGCCTGCGCCGCGGCTGGCTTAGCGTCAAAGCCTGCGCCGTCGCGGCTGCCGCCGCTGGGCCCCGCCTCGTGTGGTTGCGCCGTTCTGTCTGGCGGCCGCGGCGTGTTGCCCTCTGTGGTGGGGGTTGCGGCAATGCAGTCGGGCTGTGGCTTGTCAGCGCGTGCTGTGGCGGGGCCCGGCTGCAAGCCCTCTTGAGGTAGTCGCTGCTGCTGCTGCTGGTGCTGGTGGTGATGCTGCTGCTGCTGCGGCTGCTGCTGCTGCTGCGGCTGCTGCTGCTGCTGCGGCTGCTGCTGCTGCTGCTGCTGCTCCCGCTGCTGCTGCGCCTGTATAGGAATTGGCGGATCGGCACCATCCTTCGTCGTGCGGGGTGGCCCCTCCTCATCGCCATCCTCCAGGTCAGACCACGAGCTGAAGCGCTGCTGGGCCGGCCGTCGGAGGCGCGCCGCGTCCTGCCTCGCCCGGCCAGCGCCACTGTCCGCGCCTCCGCCTCCGCTGCCGCGCCAACCGCCGCCGCTACCGCCGGCGCACCACTCGCCCCCGCCGCCGGGCTCCCAGCCGCCGAGGTCTGTTTCGAGCATGTTTTCTTCCTCAACACAGCCGCCTCCGAGGCCGTCGTCCAGGCTGAGCACGCGCGCGTGATGCTGCAAGCTCCCGCCAGCGCCCTGGCTGGCCCACCCGCGGCCTCCCGACGCGCTACTCGGCGGTGCAGGCGGGATGATGAAGGGCCGCAGGCCGCCGTGATCTTCAAAGTCAGAGGCAGGCGAGCGGCTGCGGCGCACGGCGCCGTCCTGTGCGGCAGGGCTCGGCGCGTGCATGTCAGGGGCGAGGCGAGGTGGCGCGCCCGCACGCGGCGGCCCTGCCGGTCGGACCGCCGTTCCCGCTGCTCCTTCCAACTGCCGCTGAAGCTGCGGCGG